CCCAGAATAAACAGAGGTGGGGCAGTTGCTCAAATTGCCCTCTCCATTTGGAAAGCCCATCCCCAATCCCAGACCACTGCTGTCAAAGTCCTATATATCCTTCAAGGTTCTGCTCCAATGCACCTACTCACGAAGCCCTTCTACAGAGGATCCCCCTTGCTATGTGCCTATGGGACCACATATCTGTGGTTCCATCCTGAGTTAAAGGCAATAATGCACATGCTACACCCCTCAGTTGACCAGTTGCTTCCACTGGGAAGTTCTCAAGCTGCTGTCAAGTTTTATCCTCCAAGTCTGTAGCCACATGAGACAGTGAGTTGCGTCCATCAAAATGGCTTGGATGACCACTCTGAACATGCACCTCTGTGGACACAGAGGACCCAGAGGTTTGAGGAAGACAGAAAAGGAAGACAACGCAGGGTCTGGGTCCCCGTAGGACCCTCCTGAGCTCCTCGCAGCCCTCAGGGAAGCTCTCTGGAATTGTGTTTTCCCTCTCTGTTTTGGGTTGAGCCTGAGTTTAGTCCCTGGTGGGAATGGCATTATTTTCCTCAAGGTTTCAAGGGGGTTGAAGAGAGTTTCATATTTCTCTGTTTGGCAAATAGTCAGTCCCCTGCCTCCCCTCCCAGGAATCAGGAATCCCAGAAATTAAAGCCAGAGGGACTTAGGTTTCTTTCTGAGGCAGGGCCGCTGCAGCAGATGCCAGTTGGGCCCAGGAAATACAGCCAGGAGGTGGGGGTATCAGGTCTTGGGTCTTCTGGGAGGCAAGGGAGGGTATGGCCCTGGATAAAATGCCGTGGCACTGTAGAGGGCAGGTTTGGGCTCCCTGCCTGCAGCAGAATAGCCTTTCTTTCAAAGCTGAGTTGGAGTGACCGAGGACCAGTGGCAGCCATTCCACTCCCTGTTGTGGGCACGTTTCTCTCTGGGTAAAGAGGAGACAGAGCTTTCCATGCTGGAGAAGGGGGGTGGGAACATGCAAATCCCAGTGAAGGGAAGCAGGCCCAGCCCAGATGCCAGCAGACAGGGAGCAGGAGCAGGAGGAGGGGATAGGAATGAGCCAGGCTTCGGCACAGAGGCTTGGAGATGGCAGGCAGGCGCTTGCGCACAGAACGAGCTGACACCTGGATCTCAGCTTGCTTCCCCCCGAGAACACTTTAATGAGGCTCACAGCTGTACTATCACAGAACGAGCATTAACAATGCTAATTACCTGAAGTTTAGCCCGAACATTCCTAACCCACCCGCCTTGGGGACACACTGTTGTTCTGGCCCTGCTAAAAGCGCTGATGGTTCAAAACAGGGGCTGAGACTTATGACAAGATGTGACAGCAGAACACCAAGGCCGGCCAGGGTGGGGGCAGGTAGGATAGTGCATGCTGCAGGCTGCAGGAATGCCCAGGAGTGCACAGAGTGGGACCTCCTGGTCATGACACCAGTGTCCCTCTGCTGTTCCTAAGAGTAACCCAAGGGAGAAGCCCCAAGTGGAGATTAGACTCCTTTGGCAAAGCCGGGAATAAGCTGTGTCCATTTGTGCATGGCAGGGGCTCATGGAACCAAGGTGGCCTGCCATCATCACTCTGCCTCCCACAACCTCAGAGGACACCCCTGTGCCCTTCCCACTATCTAGCCCCAAAGATGGTTCCAAACTGTTTCCTGTTTTTTGAAGCAGCAGAACCACCAATAGGAGACACAGATTAAACGGGAGCTGTGCTGGACACTGGTTTCAGTTGGAAGTTGGGGCTCGGGGCTCAAGGACTTTCCTTCCACCCCTGTCCCCCAAGACCTCTGGGCATCCCCAAATCCCTCCTAGAATCGTAGGCCTCTGCAGAATCTGCTTGGAAAACCACTGTTCTAGAACAATGTACACCTCTGACCTCATCATGTCTGGTATTAAATCATGCCATTCCAAGACACTGCATGGAAACACACTTGGCCAGATGCGCCCGAGGGCCCCTGACTCAGGCCAGCTCTGGGCGCTGACAAACAGGCATGGTCCTCTGGTACATGAACACTTCAATCTGCATGACCCCTTTCCCACACCCGCCAAGTCTAGGGCTGAGTTTATAGAAACTCATGCCTGTATCTGTAAAGTCAAATGTCACCCAGCCATTTAAGACAAGACCTAGAACTTCTGATTCCTCTCTCAGGAGCCTTTCTGCCAACCCAGGGAAGGGAAACCATGTTATATCTCTATGGCAACTCCATCCCTCAGACTCCCTCTACTGCTGGGTGTTGAGCCGCTCATCAACATCTTATCCCACTGGTCCCTTCTTCCTATGCCTCCCCACCTCACTCCACCACCATTCCAAGCCTTTTCCTCTCCCCAAAGAAAAAAACAGAGGAAGGTCGCTCTGCTCTGTGTTTGCTTGAACTTATATAACTTGGATCCCTCCAGTTTTCCGGGCTGATAGTTTGGATGTGTGTTCCCTCCAAATTCCATGTTGAAATGTGATTTCCAGTGTTGGAGGCGGGGCCTAGTGGGAGGTGTTTGGGCCACGACAGCTGATCCTTCATAAATAGCTTGGTGCCCTCCCAGCAGTAGGGAATGACTGAGTTCTCCTTCTATTGGTTCACACCAGAACTGATTGTTGGAAAGAGCCTAGGACCTCCCTCTCTGTCTTACACCTTCCTGGCCATGTGACACACCTGCTCCTCCTCAAGTGAAAGCTTCCTGAGGTCCATATAAGAAGCAGATGTTGGTGCCAAGCTTCTTGTATAGCTTGCAGAACCCTGCGCCAAATAAACCTCTTTTCTTTACAAATTATGCAGACTCAGGTATATCCTTTAGTAACGCAAAATGGACTAACACCCCCTCCCTCCTCTATCCCTCCAACTCAGGCAATGTCAGTTTCTGGTTTGTGTTATGATAGTTAATTTTCTCAGGCCCAGCAGAACATGGCACATCTATTGGTTTCTCAAAAGCCCTCTGTCAGCCATTGGTGGGAAAAGACAGTCTTCATCTGTTTGGGCTCCGATAACAAAGGGCCATAGATTGAGTGGCTTATAAACAATAAGCCAAATTTATTTCTCACAATTCTGGAGACTGGAAAGTCCAAGATCAAGGTGCCAGCAGATTCAGTGTCCAACCAGGGCCTGCTTCCTCATAGCCACCTTCTCACGCTGCCTTCACATGGTGAAGGGGCAAGGGATCTGTCTTGGGCTTCCTTTATAAGGGCACTTTATAAGGACTCTGCACCCCCCCCATGACATAATCACCTCCCAAAGTCCCTGCATCTAATACGATCACCTGGGGGGGTGCAGATTTCAACATATGGATTTTGGGAGACATAACATTCATACCATAGCAGACTAGGATGCAATGCCCGGTTCCCTGAGGTTAAAGCAGAAATGTGCACAGTTCTCTGTGCAGATGAAAGGCCTGAATGTGGGTGTCTGCATAATCTTCTGTTGCCTGGACTTTGATATGAGCCTAAGTCCTCCCGATGGCTGAAATTAGCAGCATTGTAGGTCCAGCTGTCATTCAAAACTGCTTTGAGTAAAGGCCTGGCCTTTCTCCTCTAGTCCCTGAATGCAGACATCACTCCCACTGCAGAGATGGCTCAACAACCTGCTCAATGGCCCATGTCTGCAGCAACCATCAATGGCTCCTCTGCTGAAATAACGGCCCCATATTATGCTTAGAAAAGCAAAGGCTGAAGGCACATGGATGACTTACTAAAGAGCAGTGAGCACTCACTCAGGGAAGGAATGAGAAGTGACATGGTGTCTCCCCACTGCTATGCCCACCTGTGTCTTATCAAAATGCACAGTAGATTTCAACTAAAACCATGCTGACCGATTGAGACCAGGGAGCTTGTATTCTAGTTCCCTCAGTTTCCCCCTTGACCCTGTTCATCACATGTTGTATTATACCTGCCTGGTGCCTGCCTCCTTGGCAAGACCGTGAGCCTCACGAGAAGGGGAGCTTTGTCTTCTCTGCTGCAGCCCCAGTACCTAGCAAAGAGTAGAGGCCTTTATTTATCTATCTAAAATTTATTTTTGGAAGACTGACTCTTAACTTTCAGCCCCAGGAAACCAATTCCCACAGGGACCAGGAATCCTGTGTCCAGAGGCTGTTCCTTTAAGGCTGTTGCTAAGCAGACTCTGGAGACTCTAGGGGCAGATGTGTCCTCTGTGATGCCTATTGCTCCTTGCCCAGGGCAGCCAACTCACTGCCTTTATGGAAGGCAGCCGAGAGGGAAGAAGCAATGACTCAGCTGGCTTCTAGATGGTTCCTGCACCGGAGGTCTCTCTCTCCCCTACCACATTCCCCCACCTTTCTGTGAATCATCTCTGAGTCATCAACTTCCCTTCCCCCAGAAAATCTAGGAGGCTCCCTTCAAGGATACCCTAGGGTCTTCAAGGGTCTCCAGAGAATGAGCTGCCCTCCTCCTGCAGATGAAGCTCTCAGTTAAGGCCTGAAGCTATGCTTCCCACAGTGCCCATAAAAGCTGCCACCATGACTGTGGCTTCCCTGGTGCTACATATGACATGGTCAGAAGTCCATCACCAGGGATCAACTGAGACCTGGAATTTGTTGTTCCTGGAGTCTCCTTGCAATCGTGAAAGCATTAGTGTTTCTCTGGAGCCTGATGCCCATGCATGTGTTTCTCTCTCTCTTTCTCTCTCTCTCTCTCTCTCTCTCTCTCTCTCTCTCTCACACACACACACACACACACAATGCAGTCTCACTGCACACCCCAACACAAAAGGGCTCTACCCCCACAGAATCTCTACATTTCAATTGATGTCTTAAATGTTGGTCTTCTGAATGGCGAATGAGTCCCGGGTCAGCGAGTCCACATCAGGTGTGGGCTTCTTCCAATCTGTAGATCCCCCTGGAGACTGTCACAATCTGCCAGCTCTCTTGGAAGTCACAGAACCAGCGTGGCCCCTTAGGTCAGTGGGAGATGTGGCACAGCCTCATCTCCAACACTGAAACAGAGAGCCTTCTTGGATAGTTAACTTTCTTAGAGAGCTCAACCACGGAAAATAAGAGTTTCCAAGATGTTTAAAGCCTTTTATTTGTTTACACATTCTCTAAATTGCAGACAAAATATTCACTACATGGGTAGTCAACATTGCTAACCAATCACAGAACAAGATACTAACCACAGCAAGGAAGGGATGGGGGCTTGTGACAGTCTTTGTGAACGTGCGAGGGTTCCACAGTGGGGCTGAGATATTGAAGGGTCCCAAAGATGAAGGCTGCTCGATCCCCACATCATTCTTCTCTCATCAGCTACAGGTTCCCCTCCCAGAACCCCGTCAGGACAGGAGAAAAGGCAGCGAGAGAGGTAGGGTGGTCCTGGTACATGGGCCACCAGTCTTCTGCATGAAGAGCAAGTCCAGGTCAGCGAGTCCACATCAGGTGTGGGCTGCTTCCAATGTGTAGATCCTCCTGGAGACTGTCACAATTTGCCAGCTCTCTGGGAAGTCACAGAAGCGGCGTGTCCCCTTAGGACAGTGAGAGACGTGGCACAGCCTCATCTCCAGCACTGAAACACTGAGCAATCTTGATACATCCCTTAGACAGGCCAGAAACATCACGGCACTTCACGTTAGGAGCCACAAAAGAGTGGGAACCTGACACACGTGGGAAAGGCGCATCCCCAGAGGACAGAGGACCGGGACGGCACACACACCTACAGAGAGAGAACCAAACCACATCACGGCAGAAGGAGGGGGACAGCTGGTGGGGTGGGAGGCGGGGCTTTTTGTTTGTCTGTGGCTGTAATTGCTTTTCAGAGAAGCCAGAGTGAGCCAAATGGAAATAACGTCTTATGACCGTTACACACAACTTCCCAAATCTGTAGCCCTTTTCTGTAACCTCATGAAAGCTGTGTCAACCTCAGTCCTGGTCTGAAGTACCCAAGCAGCCCAAGGCAAAAACTCATCAGCAAGAGGCAATGCAGCACTGGGTCCCACGGATCGGGGGGAGGGCGTTCAAGGAGCAGAAAGGGAAACTCTTTCACAGGCATTTCTGTCGCTGGAGAACAACTCTCTTGGTCATTTTTTGATGACTGAGAGTCTCAGGAGTTGTGGGAGTGGAGTAAAAGAGACAAGAAAGCAATTTGGAGTGATGGGGATAAAATGTTGCAATGGTTTCCCTCTCTGGTGCCCACACCTGGAAGAAGTGACCCCAGGTTTGCTTCATAACTGCAGGTCTAGAGAGATTAATGGAGGCAGCAACAGGAAGGGAGATCATCTATAGAAGGGCTTCATGAGTAGGTGCGTTGGAGCAGAACCTTGAAGGATATATAGGACTTTGACAGCAGTGATTTCGGATTAGAGTTGGGCTTTCCAAGTGGAGAGACAGTGAGCTCAGTGGTTTTCAAAATGTGCCAGCCCCACCTCTGTTTATCCTAGGGAGGCTGGGCTGGGGTTGCCCAGGACGTGTGTCTTAGACACTGCGACCCAGATCTAGGGCAAACTCTCCCATGGAACCCTAGTTGCCACATGACACACGGAAGGCCACTTTCTGAAGCTGAGCATCAACGTCAGGGGCTCAGAGTCTTTAACCCGTGAGAAGACAGCCTGAGATCTTCTGGAGATCTCAGTGCATTTCCAGGGCTCCCTTTCCAAATGCAGTCTAAAGCGATGGAGGGGCAGTACCTTCCTAAGGCTGTGAGATGCCCAAGGTCTCTATTCACCAGCTGAGACAGGGCAATGAGGACTACACACACCCCTTCTGCAAGTCCTCATGCTCTCTGACTCAACCAGAGGGCATCCAAGGCCTGGTGAGCCTGTGCAGGCCCGAGCTTCCTCGTGGAGCAGAGGGTAGGTGGCTCCTTCTCAGGGACCTCGTTGTCCTTCCTACTGCAGGAGCCACCACCAAAACCCATCAGAGGAATCCCAGCGTTTATAAATGAAGGTGTCCTCACCAAAGCCATTGGACCAGCTTGTCCCTGAAAGAGACACAGGGGGGTTCAGCAGCGAGAAGAAGAAAACCAATTTCTTTTGACTTCTTAGCAGAGATGCTCCATTTCTTGGCTGTCTAAGAGAGAAACTGGGCTTTAAAATTGCCCTCAGCCTGAGCCCAATTGGCAAGGGGGAGCCGACCTGGTTGAGGACTAGTTCTGGCTTTTGTAAATCGACCGTGTGACACAGACAGCATAGCATCAGGCCTGGAAGGTGCCAGATCAGACCGTGTGCTCAGCCTGAGAACGCACTCTAGGGCAGGTGGGAGATGGGGCCTTCTCAGAGCTCAGCCACAGGCTCTCGGGCTCCCAGGTTCGTCCCTTGAGGAGCTGGGGACCTGAGGGCTCAGGGTCCACTGCTGGCTGCCTGGGGGCAGTGCTGCCAGTCTGATCTGCATAGGGTCCAAGTCAGAGGCCTTTGCCTCACCCCTTCCACCAGCAGGGCCATTCAGAGGAGCCTTGCTCACCGACTTTCAGGTAGGTGAGTGATCAGACCCCAGCATGCTTTTCAAGCTCTTAAGCACTTTAAAACCAGACTCACAGCCAAGCCTGTGTCCCTGACTACCTCCACAGATGTCACCAGAATTCCCACTCCCACCCCGGGAGCCATGTGCCGCCCAGGGCCCCATAGGAGCCTTCCCTCAGGCCACCCCCACAGAGGAGCTACAGCTCTGAGTCGACATCCACACATGGACAGATACATGCCTTCCCCCAAGCCCAGGCATTGTGCTTGAAAGCCAGCTTGGCGTGGCTTCTTCAGGGAATAACTCAAAGCTGAAACCTGGCTGTGACACGTGCGGAGAAAAGGAAAGCCGAAACAAATGGTTTCTTCCTGATGCTGTCAACACAAACAACAGAGAGTCTAAGGCAGCATGAAGCTAGGATCTGAGAAGCACCTGGCCAAAGGTGCACATGGAAGGTTTGCTGAAAACCTCTCTTCATCCCTGCGCACACCTGCAGTGCCAGACGCAGGCATGGTGCAGCTGACCTTGCTGGGGTCTGGTGGAGTGTGCCCAGTCTGCGCATGAAGCTCCCCCACCCCACCACTCCCCCTCTCTGCTTTCTCTAGCACAGAGAAGACCATTGTGGCAGACGTTTTCTGCCTATGATCAGGTGCTGCCAGTTGCACCTGTCTGCCTTCCAGCCCAGGACCCCACAAGCAGCACTGGGGGCACTGACTGCCCAATGCTCCAGCCCAAGCGCCTTCTTCAGTTCACCAGTTTTAGTGCCGAGGACACCATTATCCAAGGGCATCTAGTGCTCGCAGATTAAAGCAACTAGGCTGAAGTCATCTGTTTTCTTCCCCCTAACCCCCAACCTCCACAGGGTAGAAATCACTGGATACTTCTACCTGCTTCTCTTCTACTGATGACCACGCATACTCAACAGAGAAACCTACATATACATACACCTTCCGTGGTGGCACGGGACTTGACCTGCAGTCATGATTCCTTGGCAGAGTTTAATTTTATGGCTGAAAAGCAACTTGAAGTCTAGGCCAGGATGTGGTTTATTTTCCAGCCCCTACAGGACCTAGAGCATTGCCCTGCACATAGTCGATGCTCTGCCAGGGGTTTTAAATTAGCCAGTAACAACCTGCCCTGCAATGACTCATGGCAGGCAAAAGATGGGTTCGTTTTCCTTCAGAGGAAAACCCCCAAGAGTGGGCAAACACGGCAGATGAGTGGGGGACAATTCCGATGGACTCTGTTCCCCTTTAGTCAGATGCCCCCTAAGCAACTGACCAAATTCATTGCAAAAGCATGACCCGTCTGCTTTCCCAAATGCCATGTGGACCAGTTGCATTGGTGAGCCAGGGACGCCCTGCCTACCTACCCCGCCTCTCTCCCGCCACCTGCTCCCCACCTCCTCTGCTCTGAGATAATCGTTCTATATTTTCATTCTCTCGCTCACATATCAGGCAATGTTTCTTTCCTTTTTTTTCTAGTACCTAATTTAGGCCTCTTCAACTACATGTTGAAAATGTGCACGGGGTCTATTTTCTTTTTCCTTTATGCCACTGTTGCTTCCCACTTCCCACCTCCAGCCCACTCCTTAGCATCTAGCATGGCAGAGGGAAGGGAGGAAGCAGTGCAGGGAAGGGAGAGGGCAGGGTGAGAATCAAGGTCTCAGTGGGGAGTAGATGTGGAAGGGCAAACCAAGTCCATAAAACCCACAACCCCAATTATAGCCATGAAAGCTTTGCATCCCTTTGATAGCAGAATTGAGACTTTTCAAGCCTCCAACTATTGTCAAATGTCTCTCCCAAAAAGACACATAGGTGAATGAAGGGAAGAGAAGGAGAGAGGTCATGGAGCCAGTGGCTTCCAAGCACAAGGCTCCCTTTGCAACCCCTGTGGTTGTGCCAGAGCTGAGACTGGGGGAGCGGGACTGGAGAAGACTTCAGGAAAGATGCACCTTGCCTGGCAGCCCCCGCTCTCCCTCTTGTCCTGGAGCAACATCAAAGTTTCCCTTGAGTTCATTAAGCAGGGTGTGTGTGTGCGCGCGCACATGCATGCGGGCATCCCTGTTCTCATCATCAATATTCATAACATTGAAACGAGTAACAGAGATGCAGGGAGGCGAGCCAATGAGCAAGCGGGAGGCAGTGAGTGAAAATCTAACCTGGGGGCCTGTAAGGTTGTGTTGCTGGGCTCATGGGCCTCTCCCGTTTCCTACGGGGCCACTGACCTGCCCTCCCGTACCCCCACAGCCGCGTTTATTTGCTAGACAGGGTTGGTGCCAGCCGGCAGGGCCGTTTTGCTCGCTGCCTGGGCTAGAGGTCATGATGAGTAATTATATCTGTGTCCGAGAGGGTTCTGGCTGCCTGCCAGTCCTGGTTCCTGCCTTCCTCTGGCCTGCCCTGGGAAATGTCGCCATCAGCAAAATACTTCCTTCTCTTGGTGGGGCCAAGAGGGGGACACTGTGGAAGGGCACTCTCTCAAGGCCACCTGCCCTGCGATCTGAGGCCAGCACTGGAGCAGAGAAAGAGAAGGAGCGGGAATGGAAGCTGGAACCAAGGGCCCTAGGGAGTCCCCTCAGGAACCCCTCACAGCCAGGGCACACTCGGAACCCAGAGAGAGAGAGCCTTTCCAGGATCCCACTCACTTCCAAAACTTTGCCTTCATGCAGGGAGTTCCCTGTTCCTTCTGGAAAACCCCCTGGTAGGAAACTGGCAAGCCCAGACCCCTCCTCCTCAAGTTTCCTGGTGGTACTTCCTTTGGGCCTCTCTTCAAGTGCCTGGGCTGCGCACATGGAGGGGGCGCCCGCCGCACAGCCAGGCCTCCCTGGGGGACAGCTGCTCAGAGGCTCCAAGCCAGCTCCCACTCGGTCTGCCTGGGAGGCTGTCCGTCCTCCCACAGCCCGGGTGCCCAGCAGGCAGCACCCACAGCTTCCTCTCCCCTCCTTCCCCCTGCCTGCCTCTCAGCTGTCCACTCAGAGCAAAGGTCTCCAGCCTCCTGAGAAAGGGGTTCCCAGCTCTCCAAGCCCCTCCGCCAGCTGCCCGAAGGCCATCTGTCCTGCTGTTTCCACAGTCAGGGCTGGGGGCCACCGTGGTCTCTGGCAGAGAATCATAAACAGACTCCAAAACCCTGGGAACACTCAAAAATGGAGGAGGAAGCCCCAACCCGCGGACAGCTGTGGAGCCCACCTTCTCACCACAGATCAGTTAGACTCTACGGCAAGGTGGGGATCAGGTAGGGAGAATCATAGGCCTGAGACAAAGTAAAATATCTGTCCCCCACCACCGCTATCCTTCCCCTTCACCTGGTATCCAAAAGCAGGCTTTGGAGATGGGAGTAAGATTTCAGAAAGGGTAACACACAGCAGGGAGTGGAGGAGCTCTGTCCACTTTGCAGGGGAGCAGAGGAGCAGAGGAGCAGGGCTGGCCAGGCCTCCGCTTCCCTTCTCAGCTACTGGTGTCCTGGGCTTGAGGGGCCTGAGCCCTCTGGTAGCAGTGCCTGGAAAGGCTTCACTCCCCAGGGCTGCAGGTACGATCTAGCCCTCCCTCACTGACGTCTCCGTCTCTCCCCAGCTGGATGAGGGGCCTGCTTTGCCCTCAGAAGCATCCCTGAAACCCCACACAACCAACCGGTGGCCTCAAGAGACAGGGAGCTGAATCTGTGCCCAGAATTGGGCAGAGATTTGACCTTTTTTAGCAAGTAAATGATCTGTTGCCCAGGATCACAGGCCAGAGGAAAAAAAAAAAAAAGGTTACAATCACACCCACCTGATACCCTCCCACTCCTTAGCTCCAGGATTTTTCCCTAAGGACATCCAGCTCCCTGCCTTGTTCCCCCAGAGATCCTCACCCCTCCCAAATAACCCCCCTCCCTTCCCCAGCCCCTTCTGTCTCCCTCCCTCCCCATGGTAGGAGCCTGCTAAAAGGGACACCAAGTCACCACTGCTGCAAAGAGCCAGGCCTGGGACTCATGGCATCTTCCATGGGAGTGTGAGCATGGCTCTGGCCAGAGCCAACTTCTCCTTCAGGCTGTGACATTGGAACCCCCCTTAAGAAGGGCCAGGGAGGGTAGCTGGTGAGTGAGAGAAGGGGCTGTTCCTGTCCCAGCACTTCCACAACAGGCTAAAACCCAGCCTGGGGGGCAGGGATGTGGTCCTCAGGGCCCGCCCTGGGCCAAGGACAGCACAACGCACCCCCCACCACTCCCTCACACACAGACCCAGAGGAGATAGCAGCCCCTCTTCTTTGAGTCCTGAGGCCTGAGGTTGCCAGCAATCTTTCTTCAGCGGCACAAAAGAGCTCAGGTCTCCTCGCCTTGCCCCCCAAAGGAAAAGTAATCACAATCATCTCATTTTTCTTCCTTAAAACATCGGAACTTTTTAAGCGGAGGGTTGAAAGGGAATGAGCTGTATTCAAAGCACGACGACAAAAATGCACCGTGAGTGTGTAAGCCTCCAGGGTATCATGAAACCACCGCTGTGAAACCCAAGCCCTCCCCCAGCTGCAAAACCTACTATCTTCCCCAGCTCTGAAGGAATCCGGCCTCCTTCCCTCCCTTCCACCCACCCATGGGCTCTTCCCTGCTTCCAGTTGGCTGGGCTCAGCCTGCCTGGGCTTCCTACCTCGCCCTGGGGCAGGGATAGTAGCCGGGGAGCCTTGGGACCTGATGGCTTCTGCTTCACGGGTGATGAGTCAGTGAAGGGTTCTGAAGGAAAGCCAGAATGTCACTCTCCTAGCAGGAGCCCTGTTTCTATTTCCACATAATGTTGCCCACGCTGGATTTGCTACAGTTCCAAAAAGCAGGGTTTCAAAAATGCCAACAGGAAACAGGGTTTCCACTTCCGGCTTGGATCCTGCAGCCTCACCTCTCTGGTCTGCTGGAGCCACAACACAGAGGGGGTGAAGCCCAGAAAAGGTCTCCTGGCTGTTCCCGGAATTTGAGCTGGGTGACAACCGCATCATTATCTCCATTTGGTGGCCTCTGCAGAAAATGACAATAGCTACCATAGAGTGGAAACCGTCATCATGCCAGACCCACGCCAGGATCTTTACCAACGTCACCTCGAATACCTGTAAAGACCACGCTGGATAGGCCACATTTCCCCACCTTACAGATGTGGGAGATGAGGCTCAGAGAGGTAAAGTCATTGGCCCAAGGTCAGTCAGCTAGAAAGAGGCAGTGGGGTCCGAAAGTGAGCATTACCCATGAACTGAAATGAATCACAGCCCTCTCTAGAAGTCACCTTTCCCTTCTAAACTGCATTGATCTTACAGAAGGGAATATCCTAAGCATCTTCATTTTTAAGTCCCCAACCCCATGGTACATCCCTCACCCCCACCCCACAGCCCATGCAAGTCGTGATGTCCTTGGTCACAGCTTTTGCCAGGACCCTGACCATGGGCAGCCCGGCCCTGGCAATAGAAACCCCCTTTGGTCACAAGGGAGATACCGAGAAGACATCTAACACTGGCTAATGCACACAAGAAAGTGGACATGGAAAACATGTTGAGGTCTTCCCAGACAAGCAAGTTTCTGCAGTGGTTGTTGACGTAACATGATGCTTAAGACTCCCAATGTCACTCTGGCATAGGCAAGGCAAGGGTTACAATCTCCATTTTCCAGGTGGGCAAACTGAGGTTCAGGGAGATTTGGTGACTCGCCCAACGTCACACAGCTACTCAATGGCAGAGGCAACACAAAAACCCCGATCCTTCACATGCATCCTACAATTCTAGCTCATTCTCTGGGGTTCAAAAAAAAAGAGACCAATTTAAAGTTGACCAATGCCGTCTTCTTTCCAACACAGAGACGATCACTGTGGCCGTGGAGGCTTTTGTCTGCTTGCAGGACCCTGACAATGCCAGCCCACCAGTTGGCATTGTTATCCCTGCTTTCCAGATGGGGAAACTGAGGCCTCCAAAGGTGAAGGGATTGGGCCCATTCTGCAGGGAGTAATGAAGCTGAGTGGGGAACTCTGGGGCCCTCCTAATGTCGCTCCAGAGCCCTGACCCTCACCACTGCAGGCAAGTCCCAGTGCCCTGCCTTGGCCTGGAGACATGGCTCAGGCTCACCTTGTGTGGGCAGAGCAGACGTGGGGCTGAGAGAGAACGGGGCTGCCCCATCACCTGCACTTCTGTGGAAAACAAATTTGCACATAGTCCGAAGAGGACCTGTCAAGTCGTGGAGCCACAATTTGGGGTTTCAGACTTGCTTTTTAAACTTTTAAGCTATTGTGTCATTTGGGAATATTTGGGGAATTTTTTTTTCTAAATTTAAATTAAAATGACTCTCAAAACCCATCATTAGCCTTTGGAGACAGCCTGCTTTGGGTTTTGTGGGAAGAGAGAGAGCTGGAGTAGTCAGGAGAGAAAATGTGCCCCTCTGATGTAATGTCACCCTCCCTATCCCTTCCTGTGCCTTCAGGATCCAGACAAGCTCACCGACCAGCAGGCGGAATGAAATTACTTCTGAGGAAGACAAAACTTCCATCAAGACAGGGGCCCTTTAAATGAGACCATTATGTATGTGTGTGATTCACTCTGAGACCACAGAGCCCTGCAGGAGAGTGACCCCCATCTCTTGCCACAGGTCACTCTGCAGAGGCGTAGGGGAGACCCACACTGCTTGGCTCCATGCCAGGCTGCCCTGGGTCCACTGGCCAAGAGCAATTAGCCTGGAGAGCAGCACTCCTGCCGAGGGACAGCACAAATGCTGCAGCAGAAGTGGCCCAACTAGCCAGAGTCTCTGGGAGCTTCTTCAGGAGATGAAGAACTAAAAATAACCTGGGCCTTTGTTGTAAGCAGCTGGACCACTGAGATGGAGCTGATTTCAGAGAAACCAGGCATGCGCAAGGGTCCCACTCACTGAGACCTGCCCTTTGGGCAAATGATTTTTCCAGAAATATGTCAGTGATTGCACTGCTGCTGCGATTCAAAGTCAGTCCGATCCGCTGCAACCCTCGGGGCTGTCTTCCAACGCACAGAGTTCTCAGAAGCTCAGCCTCCCCACCTCTTTCTTCTAGACACAATTTTTTGAAAGCGAGAGTCCTGCACGTATTGGCGAGCTCAGGAGACAACAGCAGCCCTCGCACTGCGGGTTCTAAAACGTGGCCACCCTGGTGGTGAATCATGACCACCTCACCCTAATTATTTGTTTAGATAACAATCATCTCTCCCCCACCCTAAAATTCCCAGTCAGGGCTCAGTAGACAATAGTAAACATACACCACATGGAAGGAAGAAATTACTTGGGAAAAGGAATTCAGAGTGCCGGATCAATACTGAAGGTTTCTCAAAGCTGCAGCCCTCTGTATCCAGCGTTCGGACACATGATTGGGCAGGCTTCCCTCCCCTTCCTGGTTCCTGAGTCCCACCAGGGGAAGCTAAACCAGGTCTCCAGGCTCAGGTGGGCTGAGAGGCAGAGGCTTGACCATCTTCCTCTGTCCATAGACTTTGGCTGGTCTCACCTAGAGGATGCCCCAGCTCTGAAGGTCAAGGAACCAGCCTGGCCTCTTGCAAAGTCTCTCCCGATGGATAGCAAACACTGACTGGCTATGGCGGGGCCCTGGCACCACTTCTGCTACGTTTCCTCCATGTCTCTGTACCTCTCCCTCCCTCCCCACCCCCATCTAGTAACTTAACGCAGTGGATCGAGACCAGGCTGGCTGTGGACGCCACCGCCGCATTCTAGAAGGCAACTCTCTGTCTCCACAGACTCCAAGGAACAAGAAGGGGTTTCAAGTCTCCGAGTCTAGAAGTTTCCAGTGAGGCTTGCCATAAACGACAGCTTCGCCACAGCCCTTTGTTCCTCTGCTGAGAGTTTCAGGTTGAAGAGCCTAAGCTGGTGGGGGACGGAGGCTGTGCGAAGACTTCTTGGAACACAACAGATAAAAAACACCACACTACACACAAGTGATGGGTGGCTGGTCATGAAATGGCTTCCCTTAAACTGGGAAGCAAGGAGAGGGCCTCGGTGCTGGGGTGACAGTGAGAGGGTTCTGCAGGGCTGGGGCTGGGGTGTTCTTCCAGAGTGCAGCTTCCTTCCGGTGGAGATGAGGTGCTGGCCGCAGTACCCCAAGTCTTGGGGGAGGCTGGGAGATGCCGCACCCTCTTGGTTCCATGTGTCCGTGCCCCTCTGGGACTATTTCTTTTCCTTATGGTCGGTCTGTCTGGACATGTGGGAGGAGGGCGCCTTCTGGTTTGAACTGGGCTCTGCTTTAGCCTCTCCAGCAGCAAGTCACGTTCTGTGACCTGGAGCCCTAGGCCTGGCAGCCAAAGGCTGAGGCTTTCTCTTTGAGCAGTTCCCAGCATAAGTGGCAGCTCCAGCTTCCTGCAAGAAATGAGATGGCTTGAGTAGCAGCCCCTCTCCTGACTCTGGGGCCCCACCCCAGTGGCCCTAACTTCTTGTAAACCCTGTTTTCTTTGGACTTTCGTCATGCAGAAACCAAATCTCAGGCCTGAAAACATGGCAGCGTCTGTGGCTCAGCAGAAAGCAGGTGCGCAGAGGAGATGGGCTCAGCTTTGATCAGGACCCTCACTCCCTGGTCATGCTCCAACTAACGTCGCCGGGCCCGTGCCAGGTCCCCCAGAAGCTCACACCTCCCCGTCCTCACCACTGCATGTCTGGGAAAAACTTCCTTGGCCCTCAAGATGAAATTTCAGCTGCTGGGACTGTGCCTCAGTTTCCTCATCTGTAAAATGGCAGTCGTGTACCTACCTCGTAGGGTTGTGATGATTAAATGAGACAAGACAAGGACATGTAAAGCCTTTAGCACAAGGCCTATGCCACAGGGAGGGCTCAGTAAGTGCTACGGGTAGTATTGTTGCTGGTGTGACTGTTGGC